CCAACCTCAAATCAAACCTCATGAAAGAAATTAAACTAAAAACGTTGAATTGGGGTCTTGAGCCTACCTAAAAACCATGAGAATCATAAGCATAACACTAAACTTTTCTGCGTGAAAAAATAAAATATCAGGATGGGCCTGGACCATCATGGTCCCTCCATGGCTCCGCCTATAACCAGTAATTTCATTTTTCTTGTTAGAAAACTGGGAGTTTCGGCAACCCTGTTTCCAAACGAACAAAACCCAACGCCTAAACCTCAACTACTCCAGCAGACTACAAAATCAATGCAGAATGTAGAAGAACATAATATTGTAGAAAAAGTTGAGCTAGTGAGTGAGTGAGTTAAGTTACCTATGAGAAAGATTGAAGTTTCCAAGTTTGTAAGGAGAAAGGAGAGGGCTCGTGGAACCACCTACTTGAGTTTCATCAGTGGTAGCCATCAACTGGGTTCAGAGCTTGATCCTGATTTTTGTGTTTGGTTTTTTATTCGATTTGGTCTGCTCCCACACTGGCTATTTATGCGTTTGGGGAGAGGAGGCAGAGGCGGATGGTTGACAACACTAGCTCTAGCACTAGGACAGTCCGATGACTGAGTGACTGACTCCAACCGGGTACATTAGCACTAGCATAAGTGGCAGAGGCAGTGCTTGGCCGGGCGGCTACTTTTCCAATCATTTTTTCTAATTTTTTATTGATACGTTCGATGACGTTTGCAATTACCTAATCTTGTTTTTTTTTTCTTTTCTAATGCAAGAGATATCGTATCTTATTATACATGGATGACAAACTCGTTTTTTCTTCGTACTGCTTCGTTATGACATGAGACAATAACGTCTTTTTACATCTGGTATAGAAGTGATGGCTGCCAATGCGGATACCACCAACGACCATTTTGCCTATAATTTGGACATTCTTTTATTAAATTTTACTTTTATCCGAATAATTACATCCATGCGTCTTAGTTCAATTATTTTCCTTGTTTTTTGTCTCATCCTTTAATTTGATTCATCATGCGCAATGGGATCCCCATTTATTACCAAGGGCTAGCGTCATTTTTGCTAGAGTACTTGATTTCGTGGGGGTGGAGGATGGAGTAATTGGTGGCAACAATTGTGGTGCGTTGGTGCTTTTGATGACAGTGTTAGTGAGGTTGGATAAGGAATGATATAGCAATATCAGCAAATGGGATAACAATCCTTACAATCATGGTCAGACATAAGTTACGATATATCATGTTATCATATGGTTAAGCGTCTCTTTAAACAGGACACTTAACTAGTACCCTTTATCACATCTCCCAAGGTCAAACAATTAATGACTTTATGGGCTAGATAACAGGTCTCAAACAAGCCAGTAATAAGACGTCACGCATGCTCTAATAAATTACCTTCAAGTTCAAACTTGCCACTGTACAAGGGCATGGTCATCGACCATGAAGAGGCTAATGTTTCTCTACCAAGAAACCATAGCTTTTGTATTCATTTCATCCGCTAAAGCGGATGTATTTAATTTGGATTCTAATAAATTTTAGAAAATTCTTATTTAGCACCCTAAAGTATCGTAGTTTTTAAACTTTCATACAGTAAGTTTTTTTTATTCAAGTGTCATACCTAAAATGAGAATTATTAAACATCTTCGTACATCCGTTAGATTTTTCGTCAGAATCTTCTTTAACCTATTACATGATGTCTATGTGAACAATAAATAGGCACCATGTGTTAATATGGCCCAATGTGGACATAAAGAAATCGAAAACCCGCAATTTTCTGAATCTCTATACTGTAATAAACATCCTTTAAAAGAAAGAACGTTTTAGCTCTTATAGCAAGTACCATCCAACAGAAAATCTTAGCTTTATACGGCACTGATGAGAAGTACGAATGTCTTGTTTAGTAAGCACTGGCATGAGAACGTGTGACGTATCATAAGCATTCCTTACTCCAGTATCCTTTCCCCCACCCATGTCCCTTCGGAAATAGTACGGATTCGGTATGTTTGTGCACGTGCCGTTATTCTTGAAGCACATTTTCGAGGCCAGAATTCAATTAAAAGGTCCTTCTTATTTAAAAACATAATAATTTTTTAGACAATATATTCATACAAAATTCAAAATCATCATCTATCAATAAAAACGTTAGGTGAGGGTTGATGACTGATTTTAAACGTTATTTATCAAACTGCTTTTTGCTCAACGTGGGTGCAGTTTTCATTTTCCACGTTCCATTTTTTATTTGAGGGATTTCTCGCGTCTCTTTTGTATTTTTTTTATCAATTCTTTTTTTGCCGAATTTTTATCAATTTTTTTTCAATAAAATAATATATTGGTAGTTCAGTTTGATTAGAAACTCTGCTTTTTGCTGAATGTTGGGTGCAATTTTTCAGTTTCACGTTTTATTTTTATTTGAAGTATCCGTCCTTTTTTATTTTTTATTTTTTTTCATTTTTTCCCAATAAAATAAACTTTTACAAATTTTTATACATTTATATGGGATAATAATCTCTCTCCTAAAATGGAGGAGGATTGGGGTTATTCCCTTTCTAGTGAGATTTAATACACGTCTTCCCCATTTTTATTGTTTTATTTTTTGTTTGATCTAATATAATGAATTTTAGATTTATGTTTTTTGACAAAATTGCCCTTGTGTGTTTTCATGTATCAAATTTGGTCAGTTCTAATTTTTTTTGTTTAAGAGGCTTTTCAGTCCAATTTTTTTTGGTGAAGCTTTGAGACACCAAATTGTGCTTCTGACTTTCTAATATTAGAGATTAGAGATTAGAGATATTTGAAGTATCCGTCCTTTTTTATTTGTTTTTTTTTTTTCATTTTTTCCCAATAAAATAAACTTTTACAAATTTTTATACATTTATATGGGATAATAATCTCTCTCCTAAAATGGAGGAGGATTGGGGTTATTCCCTTTTCTAGTGAGATTTAATACACGTCTTCCCCATTTTTATTGTTTTATTTTTTGTTTGATCTAATATAATGATTTTTATTGTTTTATTTTTTGTTTGATCTAATATAATGAATTTTAGATTTATGTTTTTTGACAAAATTGCCCTTGTGTGTTTTCATGTATCAAATTTGGTCAGTTCTAATTTTTTTTGTTTAAGAGGCTTTTCAGTCCAATTTTTTTTGGTGAAGCTTTGAGACACCAAATTGTGCTTCTGACTTTCTAATATTAGAGATAGAAGAAGAAAATATAATAATAGTAATAATATTATAAAAAATCCCTAGCTTTTCTAAATACGGTAAGTCTTCTCTTATTTTCATACAAAAGTATACTATAAATTCAAATTGCATTCAATTTTCAAATATAAATAAAATTGCATTTTTTGTTAGTTTTACAAGCATCACACCCGTCTCAAAGTGCAAAGGTTGAAGTACAAGATTAAGGTAATATTTCTTATTATTTAATTTTGTAAATATGGTTACAGTTTGTTACCTCAAACTTGACAAATATATTTATCTTTCAGTATTCTACAAGTAACTGGAGTAAAAATATTGCCATGAGAAAATTGTCAAACTTAAAGGTATTGTGCATTACAGTTAGACTTCTTATTTTATCATCATTGCTTGCAGATTAACCATGAAAATCTAAAGCATCAAGTGCAAGCAAATGGGTGGCAATCATGGCTTTGATTTCACACGTAGACGCTATGTTTACATATGTACATGTTGTCCATATTTTGCTTTGCTTCATATATTAGGAGTTCATCCCTAGCTAGCCTATAACTTTGATTGAAAACTTATGAATCTAAAACATTTTGATTTAAGGACATTAAGTGTTGTCAATATGTATTTAGAAATGAAATTATATGTCATATTTTCAGATTTTTTTTATTTATTTTTAAAGAAAAAATAGTAAAAAATGTATGAGAGATTACTCACATATGTGCAAATTGGATGGAATATATGCTCCTAAATTCTTCAACAAACGTGGCAATATGACAATATGGCATACGATAACACCATTATCACTTTGGAATGATGGGATGATTGTACGGTAACACCATTATCTCATCAACCTTTCTTCAACTCAAGCAATTGGAACTACATAGCCTGACCCATGCTCTAATGTTGAACATCTCAGTCCCAACCCAAAATGGCACACCCATAATTATGTACTCACTCCTCTAACCGCATCAACTATCCCATTCACACAACCATTGAACAAATGATCTGCCACCTGCTCGAATGACGCCAAATATTGCCCATAATACCTTTTTGTCCACCATAATAAAAAAATGTTGTTGTGCACCCTTTTAATACACCCACTAATCCACATGTTACAAAATATATTGATTAGTTCACATTTTCTATACAACATGTTACAAAGTCATAATAATGATCAAGCATAGCTCATTTCATAAATTTCATATTTTGGGTACAATGGGCAGGTGCAAAAAGACTAAATTAGATGATTGAACATAATATTTTTTATTTTGACATTTAAATTGTTTTGTATTTTGCTACGAGTACTTACTGTTTTCATCTACTATTTTTTATTTATTTACATATACTTGCTATCGTTCATAGGCTTTAGGTAGGAACTTGCATCTAAAATCGTATGTTGCTTGATAAGCGCATGAATAACATTTAAATCATTACTTTACACAAAGTAAAAACGAAAAACATGATAACTTTTTAGGACGTGCATGATAAAAAAAAAGTTCCTCTTTACACAATACATTTAAAGTATATCTTGACCATTATAATGGGAAAAACTATCACAATACACCTTTAGGGGCGCGTAGCGCCCGTGATGCAAAAATGCCTCTCGCACGCACGTTAGTGCATGCAGAGAGGCTAATTTATTATTAAAACTCAAAATTCTCAAACCAGTTTCATTAATTTCTTTTAAAAAAAAATAAAATAAAATTCCGGGCATAACCACGACACGAGTCACGTCTTCGCATATTCGGCAAGCACCTTTTTCACCTTTTTCTTTTATCTTAATTTTATTTTGTAAAAATCTGAAAACCCTAATCAATCGATCACCACCGCACATATATTTCCCTCCACAAACCCTAAACCCATCCGTCCTCTACATTGCACTCCACCGTAACTCTCTCTCACACTCTCTCTCTGCAAGTGCAACTCTGCAACGGTTGGGTTTCAAGGATTGGACAGTCATCGTTGACCCAATGGCTTTAGTAAGTATCATCCGTCCTCCATTTTATTTTATTTATTTATTTATTTAATCCGGTCTTGAAAGATTGAGGATGAACTCTCTTCTTGCTTTAATCACATTTTAAAAACTTTTTACCACTGATTAATTTTCACATGAACTTGAGTTGATGAGGTGCTCTCTTACTTTTTACCATTGATTTTTACCTACACTCTTTGAACTCGGTGATCCCCTTGTTCCATGGTAAATGATTCCAACACATACAGTAACAAGATCAATGCACTCAATGTACTTCATTTTCGATTTAGATCTTCCTTTTTCTCTGTTTTTTATTGTTGCTTTTACTCAAAACCGCTAATTGGTGCTGGAAAAAACAGAAAAATGGACACAAGACTGGTTAGGTGATGTGGGTAATTTTATCGGCTGAACGGAATGTTTATGTGTGCTTGATCTTCTTCTTTTAGGTGCTGCACGCCGGAAGCACCAACAAAAATGGTTTCAAGGCACTTATTGCTGCTGAGTTTAGTGGTGCCAAGGTTGAACTGGTCAAGAATTTCGAGATGGGTGTGTCCAACAAAAGTCCAACGTTTCTCGAAATGAACCCCATTGGGAAGGTGGATTTTATTTCTTTTTGGGCGTAGTTAATATATGTTTATTGAAGTGTGTTTACTGGGTTTTGTTTTCCTGAATTGGTTTTTGGTTGTGTAGGTTCCTGTGTTAGAAACACCTGATGGCCCTGTTTTTGAGAGCAATGCCATTGCACGCTACGGTGAGGCTAGATTTTAAGTTCCTTTATATCTAGAAATGTTGTTGTTTTAAATCTAATTGTATGATTTAATTTGTTGCAGTTTTAAATCTAATCGTATGACATAATTTGTTGCAGTTACTCGGTTGAAGGCAGATAATCCTCTTTATGGTTCTTCCTTAATTGAATATGTGAGTGATGTGAGGACCGTCTTGCCCTTTTATAACTTCCCATTTAATTATGCATGCCTTAATGATACGGACAGAGGAACATGTTGTTTGGGTTAACAAGATGTTACAAAACTACTGGCACACAAAGTAAGGCAACTTTGATTTATAATTGGGTCACATATTATGATTTTATGAATCAAGAAGCTTCATAACGTACATTAGAGTCTTCGCTGACAGAGATCTTCATTAGAATACAGATTTGATTTGCAAATCATATTTTGTAGAGTTGTGATTTTTACTGACACATTGTTGATTTTGGCAGGCTCGTGTGGAGCAATGGATTGATTTTGCCACACTGGAGATTGACGCCAATATTTTGCGATGGTTAATACCACGTATTGGTTTTTCTGTTTACCTTCCTCAGGTTAGCCATTACTGCATTTAGTTATTCAGATCTGTTATACATCGTTGTCGTTGTATGTATCTAAGTGGGTATATCAAAACAACTTACACCATTTGTTTTCTTTGGCGCAAAGGTTGAGGAAGCTGCGGTTTCTGCATTGAAGAGAGCGCTAACTGCTTTGAACACTCATCTTTCTTCCAACACGTACCTGGTTGGGCATTCTGTTACTTTGGCTGATATCATTCTGACATGTAATTTGACTCTGGGATTTAGCAGGTTATTCACAAAAAGTTTTACCTCTGAATTTCCTCATGTTGAGAGATACTTTTGGACCTTAGTTAATCAACCAAATTTCCGCAAGATATTGGGTGAAGTTAAACAAGCAGAATCCGTTCCATCTATTCAATCAGTAAAGAAGCCATCACAGGTGAAGGAACCTGCAAAACCTAAGGCCAAGGATGAGCCAAAGAAAGAGGACAAGAAAGAATCAGCAAAGCCTAAATTAGAAGAGGCTGCAGAAGAAGAGGCACCCAAGCCCAAGGCAAAGAATCCTCTTGATCTTTTGCCGCCTAGCAAGATGATTCTGGATGACTGGAAAAGACTTTACTCAAACACAAAGACCAACTTCCGTGAGGTTGCTGTTAAAGGTGATTCTTTATCACATACTATACACATGGCTTCACCCATTTCTTGTTTTTAATTTTCCATGTCTTCATAGGTTGCATGTGGTAATGCATTTCCATTCAGTATATAGTTATCTGGTACTTTTGTCTATGACCTGTTAGCAGGCTGGTACAAGCAGATCATTGGAAACTTTGCAATATAGTTTATACTCCTCGATATATTTTTTTTTTAATCTTGGAAACATTTAATATTTAGCTTGAAAAAGACATTTTTATTGCTCTTTGACACAGAACAATATGAATTACTTATTCAAATTACCGAATCCACTTTTTTTTTTTTTTTTTTAATCTTTGGTTTGTGCTGTTGCTCTTTCAACTAAAATATACAAACGAGTCCTATCTTATTTTTTAGTTCTTTTTTGTTTATCTGTTTTTAATTTTTAACGTCAAAACAAATCAATTATGATGGAAAGTAATTCAATTGATAACAGAAAATAATCTCAAGATTTTGAGGGAACCAATTAGGAAAGAATTATTATTTAATTATCAAGTACCTTGTTCAGTATTTTGTTCTGAAAGGGGTGGCAACGCTCACCACCTAGTTGGGGTGGTGAGCAGATTCGGACTCATTATGTTTTTTGTGACCAAAATGTGGAATATCCTTCGACTAAATTCATGATTCTTGCAATTGAGAATAAAATTATTAAAAAAAAAAAAAAAATGGAACTGTCGTATCAATGTGGAACTAGTCTAATCTATGGAGTAGAGAAGTATAATGTGGCCATCAGTGTTGAGTCCGTACCATCTCCCATTTGCTGTTGGCTCTGTGACATCTCTACCTTCTCTAAGTCATTTTGCCACTGTTTCGCTTAAACATCGCCACTCTTCTCTATCTGATTAGTTACCAGGCGAGCCATGCATTGCTTGTATCTATTAATGAAGGTCAGGTGCAAAGCACCTTGACACCTTTTAAGATAGGAGTGGCAGATAACTGTTAGGAGTGGCAGATAACTGTTAGGTGTGCTTGTTGTGGATGAAGAATCACCTGGCATCTTGCTATTTAACTACCTTCAGATATCCATTTTTAGGACATTCACGATTACTCTTCCTGTTAAGGGCAAGGATTTTGTTCAGTAAAGGTTGTAGAAACTGTGAATATGTGTACCTATTTTTCTTAAATACCGCTTTATGACATTTCACTTCTTTCTGCAGGATTCTGGGACATGTACGATCCTGAGGGTTACTCTCTTTGGTTCTGCGATTACAAGTACAATGATGAAAACACTGTTTCATTTGTGACTTTGAACAAGGTGGGTGGTTTCTTGCAGCGGATGGATTTGGCTCGTAAGTACGCGTTTGGAAAGATGTTGGTGATTGGCTCGGCCCCTCCCTTCAAGGTTAAAGGCTTGTGGCTCTTCCGGGGACAAGAAATCCCGAAATTCATAATCGACGAGTGTTACGACATGGATCTGTACGAGTGGCGTAAGGTTGATATCACTGATGAGGATCAAAAAGAGCGTGTCAATCAAATGATTGAAGATCATGAGCCTTTCGAGGGGGAGGATTTATTGGATGCCAAATGTTTCAAGTGATTAGAGAGGTGTCAAAAGAAGATGTACTGTGTTAGGGCTATAACAATGTCTTCTGATCTTAGTCCTTTTATTGAACATTGTTAGAGGTTCGTGTATTTTATTTTCATGTAACGTTGTCCGTTGTATCAGAATTATTAAACCGAAATGTGCGCGAAAAGTTATTTTTGCAATGGTACTTCTCAAATTACAGACAGCAGGAAGCATACGATATTGTTCTTATCTCGAATGAGAATAAAGTAATCACTTGACATGCTTAACGAACCACGCCAGTGTGTTTCTATGAGCCTCCTCTGCACGCTTTACAGCTTCTTCATCTTCAGCATTGTAACTCATGGTCCAACCGTGTTCAGCTTCGGAACTATCTTCACAAAGCTATCAACCTACAACGAAAGAAGCTCGTTTAGTCTTTAAACTAAATGTACGAAATTAAAACTTGTGGAAAATGGCTTGATCATCTGCAGATTGAATCTCTGCACCTCAGGTTTTGCAGCTAATATCTGCTCGAACTGTTTCATGAGTTCTGGTGGAGAATAGTCGTCAATCTCAGCTCCTTGAATCGCAATGGGAACTTTAACCTCTGTCAACAAGTTTAAGCACAGAACGTTTTAAGTATGACGATGAAATTAGCAACCGATTGATTCACCAAAATGTTTTTCAACGAAGATAGCTCTCTCTCTTTTCAGAAGACTTAAAAAAGTTGGCATTTAAAGCAGTGGAAATTCATACCCTGAATATCATCCAAAGCAACAAATGAAGGATGTAACAGCACAGCCGCTTGGATGAAGTCGGACTTGGCAAGTTCAGTCACGACTTTGGCTGAGAACAATATCGATCAAGTTAATTTCTTCTGTGTTAGTCAGCTGTCTGTGTACAGGTTTACCTTGGGCAATGGAACTAATTAAGCATCCAGTAGAAAATGTTGTATGTGAAAGTAACCACTCACCACCCCAACAGAAGCCGGCAGCTCCAATTGCAGACACTCCTTTACCTTTAAGAGCATTAATTATTGATTTTGCATCCTCAAATCCCTTATCCTAGTAAAACAATTAGCAAAGTTTCAGGCAGTGGTAGCTAGGGCCATCAGTTAAAGCATATAACAGAGGCTAAAGCGAGCGATTAACCGTTCCATGATCTTGTAACCACACTGCTAGAGACCTGTTATTATCATGTACAAATGGATCGCCATAGAAGAAGTCCGGAACTAGCACAAAGAATCCTGCAGCTGCAATGTTTTCGGCAAGCTTCCTAATCAAGGATAAGCCAGATTATTACATTAAACTTTCAGCAAGCGTATCGGCCATACCTCAGGAAGCTGAAGTTCAATTGCGGCATAAATGAGCGAAATTCACACAAACATCATTAGTCTCGAATAACTTCAACGCGTTCTAAAGAGCGAGGAAAACAGAAAATGCGTTGATCAAGGATAGAAACTAGAAAGTAAAGTTCGAATCAGCCATACCTCAAGTTTGGAACTCTATATCCTGCAGGACAAGTCGAACATCTAACATTAAGCGAACGAAAGCTAGCAACGATGAAATGAAGAATCGGTACAAAACATTAGATTTAGAACCAACTAGAGAAATTTACAAGTACCAAAGACATTAGAGATAAGAAGGATGGCAAGCTTGGAGTTAGGGGAGCCCGCAACGTAGACGTTAAGGCCTCCAAGTTTTTCATCACTGTTGTCTACTCCGTAGCTTTCCGGTTTGAGAATTGGTGGATTTGAGCAGCACTGAGGGCCGGACATAGTAGTCGTCGTCGTCAATTTGCTAGCTAGCTGCTGTTAATTGTTCTGCAATATCTTCTCTGTAAGAACCCGTCCCGGAATTTACGTAGAAAAATAAGTATTTTTGTATTTTTACTAAGTTTGGGAAATACTTTTCTTTTTAAAATTGTTTTTGAACCTTAATTGGTCAGCCCAAGGCCCACCCCCTGTTTTTGTCCCCCGGTTCCTTCCCTTTCCCTTTTCTTTTCTTTTTTTTTCTGAAAAGTCTTCTCCTCTCCTCTCTTTCTTCCTCCGTGCTCTCTCTTTCCCCCCTCCTCTCGGTGCTCTTTTCTCCGAGCAGAACACACCCACACACACACACACACCTATGCCCACACCTATAGCTCTTTTCTAACCCCGTGGTTGTGTTTTGGACGTCAAACCATGAAGAAACCACCTCGGAGACATTTCCCAGTTTTCCGGCGAGCACCGCCCCTTTCGAGGCAATTTCCGACCAAACCACGGCGATTTGGCCGGCGTGCAAGGTATCAATCTCTTCGTTTCGTTGAGTACTACAACTTTCCTTTTTGTTTCACCCAATTTCATTGAGTATTGAAGAAGTTATACTCATTTGAATCTTACCCAGTTTCCGGCGACCTCAGTAACTTTCGAGGTGTTTTCCAGCCAAACCACGGCGATTTAGACGTCGTGTGAGGTACCATTCTCTTCGTCTCTTTGAGAGCTACGATTTCCATTTTTGAATCACTTGATTTCGTCGAGTATTAACAAAGTTACGGACGTTCAAAGTTTGTCTAATTTCCGGCCGAATTCCGGCCTTCTTCTCCGTCGTAAAACCCAGCCCAAGAAACCACCCAGGCCTTCAGGCCGTTTCCTTCCCCCACGGGCCTTAGGCCCGTTTGGTCTCTGGCCCAAAACCCTAAACCTTTTCCTTTTTTATTTTTATTTTGTTTCATTTTAAAAACCCAAAGGCCTTAGGGCCTTGGTTGCAGCCCAAACCCATTTCCCCTTTTTATTTAGGCCTTAGGGCCTGTTAGCCCAAAACCCATCACCCTTTCTGTTGTGGGCCTTTGGGCCGTATGGGTTCAAGCCCAACCCAACTCACCTAAAAACCTAAACCCAATTACCCTAGCCCAAAACCCAGACCCGTTGACCCGTGACCCGCGACCTGTGACCCGTTGACCCGTTGACTCTGACACCTTGACTTTGACTAGTCAATGTTGACTTTTAACTTTGACTAGTCAACGGTTAACGTTGACTTTGATCGTTGAATTTTTGTGTTTTTGTACGGGGACCCTCCTAGGCTAATTTCGACGTTCTAAACCCGTTTCCAATGTCCGTTTTCTCAAATTCAATCGTTTGAGTAGAGTTTGACTGAAAGTACTCAATTATGTGTTTAGGTGCGATTCTTAGCGGTGATTCTGTTATTCCTGTTTGGTACGGCTTACACCATCGGTGTACGGTGAGTGGACCCCTCCAAAAAATGCATGTTTTGATAGTAGAAATGCATACATGAAAAGCATGATTTGATGATTATGATTTATGAACGTTTTACGAGATAACATGTTTACTGAGGCTAGTTTAAATTATTACTATTTTTCCTATAACCCATGTTCTTATAGAATATCTGATGGATAACGACATGATATTTAGAACATGTTTAGAACACTTCTTTATAGTATAGATGATGGATGACTTTATACTATGAAGTTGATTTTCAATATATGTATGTTCCTTTCCGCTACGGGACGTATGGATAGATCCGGTCCGTCCCGGGCAACGGTTTGGTGTTGGCATAGGGCCTGGAGTGTGTTTTCCTCTGACTGTCTGCTCAGAGACGGGGAGTCGGCAAGGGGCCTGAAGTGTATTTTCCTCTGACTGTCTGCTCAGAGACGGGGAGCCGGCATGGGGCCTGAAGTGTTATATCGGACATTCACTAGTGATTATTATTTTATGCGAATTATGATTTGAGACATTGCACGACATGCTAGATTTCGGAAAACCTATGTTTATCATTATATATATATATATGTTTTCATAAAACCTGGGGGTTAGTATGTTGATAACTGTTTTATTATATATATATATATATATATATATATATATCAACTTGGTCCACTCATGTTTGTTTTGCGCCCCTTTCAGGACTTAGAATCGAGGCATACAATCCCGACGTCCAGGCACTTCCGCATCGGCATCTTCGAGTCCTCGTGGTGTAGGACCCACTCCTTTGTCTCAATCAATTTTATATTATTTTCTTTTAGTGTTCTAGATTAGAGTTGTGCTCTGAACACGGTCCTTATTTGCATATTAATTATTCTTTCATATTTATAAACCTCATTTATCCTTTGTTTTCAGTATTTACACTCAATAAATGGCTTTCGTCACCCTCGGATGTCGGCCAGCACGTGCTTATCCTGGTATTCGGGGAATAACGGAGTCGGGGCGTGTCATTCTCACTTGCAATTACCCTATAATATGTCCTAATTTTTATTAATTTGAACAATTCAAGGTTGGCACAGTTGAAGATAATCACATTAACAAAGGTAAAAATGAAAAGAAAAAGAGAAACGTATCTTCGGACGTTAAAGGTTAAATGTTTTATTTCTTGTAGTCCACATTTCTGTTTACTTGGTGGACTAGTTCGTTTGACCCATCTCTTTATTTATTTATTAATTTTGAATATTTTCAGAATCGACATTTCAAACTCCACGAACACGAAAGAGTACAATACTATTCAAGTGATAAATGAACAATGCAAAATATGGTATGATGCATTTATATGGGCCTCATTGAGGGTGACTGTAGAAGGTATCAAACAATCTATTCCCTAACCTACCGCTTGAGTTCTAAAATTCTGTATTGACTTTGATCGTTGGAGAGTTTGTGGCCGGTACCACATCGGTGTCAAGGTTTTTAATGATGTTTGTTCTTGTTCTCATGCGAGTTATTATCGTTCACGATGGTGCACATATTTGGTCCCAACAAATATTTTCTCGTAATGTTATATTCGAAGCACTAGCAAACTTTCATCCATGGTTGGTGTTCGACTTATGTGATAACATTGTTGGGTTGTGGACTACTTCAATACACGTGTGCGGAAGCATGGCAAGTGACGTAAGCTAAGTAATCCAATTAATATGCATGGTCAGTGAAATGTCGGATTCTGTTAAATCATATTAAATTAATCTATGTGATCTTGGTTTATCGATGTGCTTGTGTTCATATCTAATAACATTAAGAACACATGCATAAACTTGTATTAAGTTTAGAATTTTAACCTTTGGATTTCATATGTGGGCGAATTTGATATTGTTGAGGCTCCCAAGTGTTAGCTATCTACTAGTATTCACATGAATGAATCTCTGGTTGGTGAAGCAAGAAGACAACGATCTACTTGTAAAACACCAATGTTTTAAAAAAACTAGTTTTGAGACTAGCCTAGGCCTTTTTTTGGGCGGAACTATCAATAAAACGCGCATGCCCTACATAATCCAAATTGATTAATTTTTTGCATATATGATCATTAGATTATGATAAAGAGACTGAACAGTTTCGGCTATGATATTCGAACAATAAAGATTAATTAATTGTAAGTGGAGGGACAAGTAAATCCCCCATGATCCCATGGGGGATACATCCTTAGACTCCATTCGATGCAATTTTTTTTCCTTCTTTTTTAGTTTTTACCAACTAATTCATTTCGATATTTCTCTTCTGTTGCAGTCCCAATTTAGGAATCTAATTTTAAAAATCCTTATAGATCCTTAATTATAGGATTCTATAATATCTTTTGGATTGTAATGTATCATTCTCCGTTGCTTACTACTATAAATAAGGTGAGAAATGACACCACAAAATTCATTTAATTCTCTATTTTCTCTTTGCTTGTCGTCCCTCTTCCACTATCTATAATTCTTGAGTTAAATAGGCGTACAACATCTTCTACATTTTAGATCTCCGAATTGTAAAAGGCAAGGTAGCATTCATTACTTTGGAGCAAGCACTATCTATAATTCTTTAGTTAAATGGCCGTACAACATCTTCTACATTTTAGACATCCGAATTGTAAAAGGCTGGGTAACATTCAATAGTTTGGAGCGTGTTGGAGGTTTCTAAGTAGTGAAAAGGAAACAACGATCACTTAGTACTACGGTCTAATGATATTTCTTTTAACTTCTAAATGAGAGGTCTTAAATTTGATTATCGTCAAAAACAAATTTAAACTACATTGTCATGACTAACGTAAGGTTTAGTTAAAAAAAAAAAAAAAAAAAAAAAAAAAAACAACAACAACAACAACGGGATAGCATTCCCCCCAACCACTTGCAAATTGCAATTGAAAATTCAAACATTGTATTTGACAATTTGTCATTTGTACTTGTACGACATCATCATCGTTGGTTTATTAGGTTCCCCGAGAAACACGACAGACGACATGAATGGATTTCGGAGCCGCCATTGCCAAGGCTGTCTGCAACTTCAAATCCCTCTTCTCCTCATCTTGTCCGTTAGCCTCCTCTTCGGTTCAGTTTCGGCAGACGACCCCTCAACTCCCACTCCCAAAAACGGAGACAAAGCTTCAAGTGGGTCGGTGGCACTCAAGGCAGTGATTGTGCTGCTGGGGGTGGCGGCTGTCGTCGGCTTCTGCGTCTTCTTGTTCAGGATATGGCAGAAGAAGAAGAGAGAAGAGCAACACGCCCGTCTTCTCAAGCTCTTTGAAGACGACGATGAACTCGAGGTTGAGCTTGGCATTAGGGATTGATGATTAATCTCAATAAACTCTATCCCCCACCCTCCAGGTTGGTTGGTTTGTACATTTTACAAGATCATAATATCATTGTGTGTTGTAGGTAGCAGCCTTGATCGTGTTTATTGGGAAATTAATCCATATTTTTCTTCCGTAATCTTCTTTTGATGCCCTTTTTTTTATTTACTGATGTATGGAAAGGAAGATGATACCCCACAAATACAATGGCTAGTCTCAGATCTGGTTTTATCTTGTGAATTTCAGCGTTACTTGGTTGAACATCGAATATCTATGTGATCTTGATGTGTTCAACACCATTTAACTTGTATTTTTTACTCTTAAAATTTTGATAATTTATAGATAGATGTGGCGATTGTACTATGGATTTCACTTTGCTAGGTTAATCAGTTGAACATGATGAGTACTACTGATAATTTTAGAGCGTGAATGTGATTTTTATTTTTTCTGTCAACCTGCATTAGTGAAGAAGAATTCAGAAAGTTTATCCTATATTAGATAGAAGATATATGAACATAGGATATAAAAACGTTTTGAGTGTTGCATGAGTACGACATCAATAGTTGGAACATTTGAGGATGCTCTTTTGATTATACAAAAACATGATCAAGTCTAGTTCCGGATGTCATGATGGATGAGTGTCGTAGATTGTGAATCTTCGAATACAGAATCAAGGTGATTTGTCAAATCTAGAGGTAGCATAATTGAAAATAAGCTTGCGCGGAATAGTCTGACTTGATTCTGTTGTGTGATTTTTTACTAAAATCGCAGTACGTAATAACAATGTCAATTGGGGCTGAACGCGATAACCTCATGGATCATTGTAATCTAGTTAAAGAAAAAGTTTCTGGTGATAGCTACCGGTGATGTTTGGCATTATGAAATATCATGCAATGGAATATTTTTATGAATTAAAGCTATTTCTTTCTCTTGTCAATTGTGTCGTATGTGATGCTAAAGTTATTGGTATGCTTTCGCACTCTGGGATTTCTGGAGCTGTTGATGGTTTCTATCTAAACCCTTTCGTTTTTTTTCCCTAATGTTTTAATGTTTCAACTGAAGTTATTATACAATTGTGTGTGTTAAACGATTTGGTTAGAGAGCTTCATTGGGATGGAATTTTGAGAGGGATGAGAAGATGCTTCTAGATTTATATCTTTTAAAGTAGGTAATGCCGTAATAGAGTGGTTTGCTTTTGGCATGTTGCACGCTGATGTTCTTTTGAAATGTCTTTTCCATTTATCTGGTCTACAATATGGCTACCGATAAGCATAAAGCATGTGATGGTGAGTTGTATGGGTAGGGTTTGGGTCTTGAGATTTTAATATTAAGTAGTTGCATACTATTTTCATTCAGAATATGAAGGATCTAGTGATGGGAGATGTTATTGTTGTTAGGTCTTATGAAGCCCCAGAGCATGTGGGAGTGGTCATGATGTAAGAATCTGGAGGATAGGTACTAAATGGAACCTTATTCATTCGCTTGAAATCTTAGTATTCGTCTCTGTGTGGGATTTAACCAGTATTCCTAATCTGGTGTTCAGAGGTTGTTCGTGTAGATATTATTGTTCTTTTTAGACACTCGTTAGAGAATCTGGACTCGATAATTTAATTAAGAGACGGCAGGTTATTGGAAATTGGTGTTGCATGTGTCAACAAGCAGGGAATCAGTTGAACATCCTCTATGGTAAAGGTGTTTAGATTCTTGAGTGGAGAAGTGTGGGAAGTGAGAATGTTAATATTATTTCCGATTTAGAAGGAACTGTTCAAGGAATACATAGGTTGTTAGGAAGTCCACCTTCTCGGTTTTGAGTGCATTGTTGACAATTAGGGGGTGCAAAGAAAAAAGAAGAAAAGCAGTGAAGAATAATGCAGATTGATTTGATGTAATACCCGTTTTTTGTGAGCTTTACACGCGATAGAAATTTCTTATGAAGTGCAACCATCTTAATAGTGATTAATTTTCAGATTGATTTCATGAAACTGTTGTATTAAGCACCATCTTGACAACTACCTATAAGTTTTCTTGTTAGGCTGTCGTCTTTCTTCTGTTGTCTAATTTCGGTGCTAGATAACAGTAAATATTTTATGTTGGTTATCAGTGTTGATGCGTAGATTCTAGAGAAGAAGAATACGTAATTGATAGTGGAAACTCGGAGCCAGGTTCAAATCATTCGTATTCGAAGAATTATGTTGCTGCTCTTGTTCGTGGGGTTTGGGTAGGGATGAGGGTAGAGTTAGCTTTCAATTCAACCTCCGGTGTATTCGGATTTAGGATAATTGTGTGTACCAAACTGCGTAAGTTGTGGATGCATTTTGGGACTCCTTGCGAAATCCCGTCGCCTCATCAGATCGTGCGCCGTATTACGCAGCATAGCGAGGTACTTAATAGTATGATTCATTGATTTCTAATGTGGATGCAATTCCATTTACTTTGGATGCTAATTGCTAGCCTCGGTACCTTAAAACATTTCAAACTAATGGATGTTCGGTTTTGTGATCTTAAGCCCGAAACCATCATACCAAACCGGACAGACCGAACCGGCCAACAAAGAAACCGACAGTCCGGTCTAGTAACTATCTACTAAGATACATGCCCTTTATGCAAAGGGATCCTCATTTTTTTTCAAAAAATGGGAATTAGGTGTGGGGCTTATTCCACATCGAACGTCTATTTTATAAGTCTCGATTTATAGATCATTCTTTCAAATTCAATTCAATCCGAAATTATTTACCTATTTAATTATCAAGATTAAATTTCATTGTTTCTTATATAACAAAATATTCGTTTTTCTTTAACCCAATTCGACGTCTTAAATATTTT